AAGGAAATTAAGGATGAATATTTGAATTGCTTAAACAAAGGATCCATATTTACTTAATTCAATTTAAACACAAGAAAAATATGTTAAGAACATATTAGAGAGATAATCTTTTTCGTGATACAGAAACATAATTCTACCAAACCCTAAAAGCAAACCCAAAATAAGAAACCAGAGATCCTAACGATATCTCTATTAGCTTTATGTGCAAGATGAGAAAAATAATAATAGGTACGTACTACAAACTAGTTAATTTGCTTGGTGTAGCAAATTAATCATCGGACCGAGAGGCTTGATTCCCCAAGAAGAACTAAAAGTCTTGAAAAGAAGAGAGAAGATGGAGTCTTTAAATTCACGGCCCGGAAAACCCAAGAAGCTGGAGAGAGCTCGCGAAATATGAAAGGTTCGTGTCTTCTTTTTCTTCTTCTTAATTTGATGATAATACTATATACGTGATCTCTTTCTGCTCCTCTTCTTTTTCTTCCTTTTCGTTGCTACCTCTGTGGAGGTGGATAATGATAATGATGACTTCTTTGAAGATTGTGGAGGAGATGATGTTGATGATAAAGCCAAAGACATAAGGTAGGAGCAATGATGGCGATGATACTGGAGGTGAGAAGAGGGCATCATGATTGCTACTGTTGAAACATAGGAAGGAGAAAATATCTTCGACTTCGAGGTAGCTTTCTTGTGCTCTGCCCTCTCACTCTCTCTCGAGCTATGTTAGAGGGGAAGAGAGAGAGAGAGAGAGAGAGAGAGAGGATGAAAGAGAAAGAGCAGAAGAGGGCATGATCGAAAGAGCCAAAAAGGGCAATGATGAATCGATCATGCCCTAAAAGCAATTGCTAGAAAGATATACTATACCTCTAGTGGGCAAACGTTTGTGGCCACACTTCATCATGTTAAAAGTATTAAAGTCTCATAATTTTTTAAAAAATATTTTTTAAATATTAATTTAATTTAATATTTTAATAAATTAATAATAATTATTTATTATTTATTATTTATTAATATTTATTACTTAAAAAATTAAAATATTAAAATATTTATATGACCTTAGCCATGCCCCTTCTAGTGTTGCCCTACCTTTTTCTTAAGGATAAATCTAAAATGGTATGAGGATAGGATCAATATTTCACCTTTCTTTGTGTCCTTTTTTTTTCTTTTATCTCTTTAAAAAGTCGAAAAGTTGAGGAATTGTAAATTATTTGGGGTTTAAGGGCATTTTGGTTGATTGAAATTATGATAGTAATTTTATGAATTTTTTTTTTTGTAAATGGTGTGCACCACTAAAATTAGAATACATAGAAATTGATAAGCTCAAATTGATATTTGAACTCTCAAATTTATAAGATTGTAACTTTTAATAAATTCTTAAATTAAAAATTTTGAATGGTTGAAAATTTAAGCAATTAAGCTTGAATTTTTTTTGACAATATTGTGATAATCGAAATTTAAAATATATAGTACCTTAATAGGTTGGTATTTTTTATTTTAATTTAAAAATTATTCACTTTTAATTTAACTTCAAATTTTGCAAAAACTTGACCATCTACATACTATATTATGAAAAATTAAGTACATAAAATTGTAGATAAATTTGACTTAAAAAATGCACAACACATGTTAAAAATTAAGCATTACTGGAAGTTGAAAAAATGAAAAAGAAAAAGAGTAGATGAAGTGAATTTTGGTGGTTATGAATATTAAAAAATTGCTTTCACATCAACAAAAATCAATCAATACTTAATTTATGTAAATTACAAAGGAATTTAATAAAAACATATGAAATTTTGTACACATTATTATGATACGAAAACCTAATACGTTTTATATTTATTTATTAAATCTTTTAATTTAAATAAAAAAGAAAAAAAATAATCATTTCCAACCTCTTATTCCATTGTAATCAACTCGCGTGCCAAAGTGAAAAATGCTAGTATAAATAATTAACTGATTCCCACGAACAAGGCGCAGTGGTTCAGCCACTGCCCTTAGTGGGTTTCACCCCTGGTGAATGGGTTCAAATCCGAGGGTCGATATTTCGCCTAC